CCTGCGCGCCGGGCCGGGCCGGGCCGGGCAGCGGCGGCTCCAGCGCGGCCGGAGGGCAGCGCAGCGGGAGCAGGAGCGGGGGGCGCCGGCCCCAGCAGGCCACCCACAAGCCGCAGCCGCGCTCGGCCGGGCCCCGCCCACGCTCCCTGAGCCACAGGACCAGCACCGCGAGTCAGATAAAGGAAAACTCAGAAGGAAACGTTTCCCTTCGATTGCTACGACTCAACCATCTGGCAGTAACAAGCTCTTACCTTCGCCTTGCTGGTGATTTATTGACTGGCATTCAATGCTAAAATGTTTGTTTCCAAATGTGCTACACCAGCCTGAAGTCCACTAGTTTTTAACCTACATATTACCATTTGTTAGTGAAACACTAGAAAAGTCTACACAAAGCATACAATAAAAAGTTGTTATTTTATACGGGTTTAGCAAGCAACTTATTTATTTTAAATTAGAACTTTGTTGTACATAGAGGAATCAAATGACAATCAGTAAGAAGTAAGGAGACAGGCTTCCAATTCAGAAACTGGAATTACAGTTCAAATTTTTTTGCCTTCAAGCAACATAGTTTAAACACATCCATTGCAGCACATCCATGAACAAAACCATTATCAGAGTGACTGTATCAAGAGTGTTAGAATTCTATCTTGTTAGTGCAGTTCATCAGACAATCTACAGCCATCTTCAAAAAGTTATAGAAATGAGGAATAACACCAAAACCACTTCAAAGATCACAGTTGCTAAGAATTCTTCGTTTCAGTTCAGATTCAGAACTTCAGTAGAGGGGAATCCAGATTTTCTTTGTTAACATCAGGGCTCAGAGTAATAAGAGGAGAACTCAAATCAATTAGCTGAAAGAAAACCAGAAAAATTTAGCTAGTAGTCAACTGTTGTGCATAGCTACTAGCAGTTATAATCTCTATTATTCTCAAGTACTTTTATTGTTTAGGGTTCTTATTAGTATCTAGAAGACAAATACAAAAACACCACAGTCAAGCTTTTGTATTCAGGTTTTTAAAAACATGCTCATTCTTAGACAAGCACAAGCTTCTCAAAAGGTGGTTATTGCCCATACTTACCTTAAAAACCTCAAAGCCTTTTCTAAGTTTCAGTAGTGTGCATATTGTAGTGACAGTACCATCCAGACAGGACACAGCACTTCTGAACTCCTCTCAACATGCACCCCGAAGTCAGAGCTCTGCAATACTCCTCTTCTGACAAAATTTGAAGGGCCTGGTACTCAACTGAGCCCAACTACACTTTTTTTCAAAGGCTGCATCCTCATAGTTACCAGCATTCATCTGACAATGATCTAAAGGCAGATACCTTCAAGCCACTAATGTGTAAAAATGCTTGTAAAATTTAGAGCAGATTCAAACAGTACACATCTTCCAGCTTAGGAGAGGATTACGAGAGCAGCTAATAAACAGGAGAGGCATCCCTTCTTTTTTTGATTAGAATGGGCTGCTGCCAAGAACTGAAAATGTGCAAAAAAGGTCAAATGAGAATAAGCATACCAACTCTGCTGAAGACAACATTCACTTCCTGCTTCAGAACAGTTTTATTCTCTAACAACTGCTTTAAGAACTACGTTCTTTCTGCATCCTCCTTCTATTTGCAGATTGCTCACTGAGCTCCAGTTCAGACCACATTGTTTTTAATCATGACATTCTCTTAAGAGCACCTAATTATCTACATCATATTGAGCTAATATTAAAAAATTCCTACAGTACTGTGGAACTGCTCTGAAGACAGTTGACATTTTTCTGCTAACATAACTTGCACCAGATGATTTGAATAAAGCTTACCTTTATCTGCCCAGATAACACAGACTTTGCAGAAGAAATCTTACTCACTTCAGGAGTATTGGAAAGGTCAATCAAAGGTCTACTTTCACATTCAGAAGTGTGTGGGAGAGATTCATCTGCTCCAATATCTAGCAGTAAAGCCTTTAAAAAAAAATTGAAGTTTTTCTCCCCTGTTCAGCAAGTTACCTTCATATACATTAAGGCAATCAATTTAGCTTATACAGCTTTAATAATCACAGATCAGGCTTAATTTAGAGCTTGGTATCTTTCATGCAGGACTCATTGCACACAGTGTAATGTAAAATCCTCAGCTTCTATTCTGGCTAGCATCACAGGGAAAATGCAGTAAGGCAAAGCAAAAGAGATCCCTTGCCATATAAAACAGTTCTTCACTTAAAAGTATAGGTAAGTTTAAAATAGAAGATTAGTAACCCTCTTAGTACTTAAATGATTTAACTACAATTACTGTACAATGTTATTCAGCCATATAAACTATTTTCTACAGCTTCACACTCTAGTTATCCTTTTGTCCAGTTTAACTACCCCAGACATGTACTAAGCAGTTCTGAAACACACACACCACCAAGTAAGCTAACAAGGAACATACTGATAAAGTGACATCAAGTAATTAATCCACATTATTCTAAACCTCAGTATATGTAAATCAATAGCCACTTTGTCAAGTTAGTATTTCAGAACATAAACTTTAGTCCTTTCTTCTTAACGCCTGTGGAGTGCCAGCTTCCAACATGAAGCCACTACATTCCTGAGAGAGGGGAAGTGTTCACTGAACTAATTACTTGACACTGAACTTTACTGCTAAATGGACTTTGGGGTTTAATCCTCCCTCACTGTACACAGAGTTGTGCTCCTTTTAAGTGACTGAATTTATAGCTACAGCAGTGTTTTGGGTTTGGAGGGTTTTTCTAATCCCTGAAGGAGCTTTATGACTGCAACACGAACTGCCCTGCAACGTTACTTTTCTAATTGAAGCTACGAGGATTTCACAGTACTCTTCCAAAAGTGGAAGTTTAATATACAATCTTCAAGTACTTGACAGTGCATTTGAGATGGGAACACAATGGAAATACTGAACATGTGATGTTCAGTGCTAAATATAGGCACTAGAGGGTGCACATGGTTACAGCCAATTGGGCACCACAACATAAAAAAAGACACTGAGCTATTTGAGAGCATCCAGAGGAAGGCAACAAGGATGCTGATGGGTCTGCTCCTTATGTGGAGCAGCTGAGGGCACTTGGTCTGTTCAACCTGGAGAAGTGATGAGGGAAGACCTTATTGTGGTCTTGAACATCCTCACCAGGGGAAGCAGAGGGGCAGGTACCAATCTCTTCATTCTCATGATCAGTGACAGGACTCAAGGGAAACATCATGAAGCTGAGTCAGGAGAGGTTTAGATTGGATAGCAGGAAAAGGTTTTTCACTCAGAAGGTGGTTGGGCACTGGAACAGGCTCCCCAGGGACGTGGTCACAGTACCAGCCTGACAGAATTCAAGAAGTGTTTAGTATGGAGTGCCCTGTGCAGAGCCGGGAGCTGGACCTGATGATTCTGATGGGTCCCTTCCAACTCAGAATATATTATTATTTCATTATTCTAACATATTTTAACTTCATGTATACTGAAGTGGTTTCCCTACTTATCCCTTATCTTGAAATAACTCGAGCACTTTACTTAGTTTTGTAGGAAAATGCATTGTCATTTCTTACCTCGGGTTGTTTCTCTTCAGCCAGATCATTTTGTACTTCAGCCAGCTCATTTTGTACTTCTGCCTCTTTTAATGCATTTTCTGCTTCTTCTGTAGCAGTTTTCTCTGGGGAGAAGTTAAGTACAAGAGGTAGCACAGCTGGAGGAGACGTGTCATTTTCTGAAGATGTCTGTGTCTTACTCTCTTGTTTCTGTTTAGAACTAGGGAAAAGAGCATCAGAGATAATTGAGTTCTTTAATCACCATTAACTACTAAAGACAGAAAAGCCAATTTCTAACCTCATTGTCTCCTTTTTTACTCCAAGCTTTAATGACCAAAAAGCTTCCCGTATTTTTACCCAAATAAATGCTAGTTACCCACAAAATACAAAATACTTCATTCCGCAGAAAAAACATAGCCTACCCATGAAAAAAAAGAAGGGAGCATGAAGAATTTAATCTTACTTGACATTTCCATCCAGCCTAAACTTCACACAAGGTATTTCCGTTGTTTTTTTCTAAACTTGGAACAGCTAGCAAAGAGGCATTGATTTTGTGTATCACTAAGGAGACAACTTCAGTCCCTGCTGAAAGAAAGCCCTAAGGCTGGAGGACCAGAGGCTGTAATCTGATTACTATGATAAAGTCACTATAGAAAGAATAATTGTTTCCTTCAGAGGAAACACTATTTGAGACATTTGGCCTAAGTAACATGACACAGTTTTTTAGCCATGAATCATTCCTACTTTAATACAGTTCCTCTCCACCAGCCACAAAACAATCCTGCATACATATACACGGCCCTTGTCAGAAGATGCTGGGTGGATAATACGAAGAAGGCAAGACCACTTTCACAGGAAAAAAAAAAAGATAATTAAAACATAAGTAAAACTATTCAGAAAATAAAGTTCAAGTCAACAAAATCCTTGGCTTTTTGACTGGTGCTTTAAAAAGTGTCATTTTACAGACAAGTGGCAGCAATATAAAACAAAAGTTAAAAGTAATATGCATTTTAATCAGCTGTTTCTCTTCAGAAGGCAACAGCCAAACAACACCAGAGCATCAGACACAAGTCTTAAATTTTTACTTTGCTCAAGAAATACAAATAATTTCCTATTAAAGCTGTAATTCTCTAGTGTTAGATATTGACTCACCTCAGTATGGCTTATACCATTTTATCAATCACAAGTCATAAGTTTTTATTAGGCCTACACAGCTTTTCTGTGCTCAAATGGTTTATTCTAACATTTAGCAGAGGCCAAGAGTCATCACTTGAGTTCACTAAGAGGCAGTCTGCCTACAATACTCATTTCATACACGGAGATTTCATTTCATACATTTCTGAGATTTCTGACTTACCCAGCTGTAAAAGTCTTTTTGGTAGAAAAGCTGAAGCTTTGCCGAAGAGACGCAGCATGTGGAGAAGTTGGCATTCTTGGTACAGTTCTAGGAGTCGCTGCTGGGAACCCCGAGATCCGACGCACAGGCGTAGGTAGGCCAGACCGCTTCACGCTGGCAGGAGTCATGGCGGCAGCCTTCTCAGGGAAACAAAAGCTCTGGAAGGCCTTCTCTTCTGAGGCTTTCACAGGAGTGCTGACTGCCATGGCACTAGGAGAGGAACATGCCTTAGCCAATACCTTCTAGAAACCGTTGGGATAATACTCTTCTACCAAACGACAGACATCCACTTCCCTTTGGTCAGTAAGGGAACAGTAGTCACCTTAAGGCTGATCATCACAGCATAGTAAGGGCTTTACTGGATCAGCATTCTTTAATTATTTAATTCTATTAATTATTTTAGTCTATTTAGCACTGCAAAGAAGCCTCTTCTGAATAGAGTGGGAGGGTTATTTGGTTTAGGTTTGGGTTTTGTTTTAAATCAGTTCCAATAGGCATCAACACGTCTAACTTGGCAGTCTCAAGGGACAATGAAGTTAGAACTTCTCAAAGACTGTTGTGACACCCAACCATGTTGCATGCTAAGAAGGATGCCTCAGTGCATTGGATTTTCAGTGAAGCCCTACCTTCCAGGTGTGCCACAAAATGTTAATCCAAGAGATGGTGTTGCTTTTGGTACCAACTTGTTTGGTGTTGCATCTAAAGAGAAAATTAATTGTTAATTGCTATCAGATTAATATTTATTTCTTTTATAGCAGTTATCTTTAAGTTAAATGTGGACAGAAGTGTAATGAAACAAATAACAAGCCTTCAAGGCAACATTTGCTTTTAATGACCAAAGTAGAAGACAGGTCATACAAAGTATGTGCTTACCTTGAGTCTTCACAGGAGCCTTAGTTTGACTTGTAGAAAGAGACAAAACTCTAGCCTTGGGCTTTGGACACAGGCTTCCTTTTGTTGAACTCCCATCTTTATTCTGTTGACATAGCTGCTGCAGACTGGAAACAGAGCTTGGTCTCCGAATTCCGCTGCCTGCAGCCTCAGATGATGTTGCAGAAGCTGAAGATTTAGCCAGGCTTATGGCACTAGGTATTTTGGGAGTACTAGCTGATCTCACTTGCTTCCTGGATTTCTCAGTATTGGCAGCTTGCAGAGATGACACTGAGGTAGGTCTGACAAGGGCCAGCTTGCTTGTACTAGATGAAAGCTTAGAGCCACTCAGACTAGCTTTTGATGCCACGCTTGATTTTCCTGAAATAGAAAGTTGTACTTCTGTGAGTTTTGACTAAGCAGAATAATTATACTAACACAGGAAAGAAAAACAGCAATTTACAGCATTTTAAATTCAGGTTCAAACAGTTCAAGTTTAAGGAGAATATACACAACTACTGAAAACTTATTCCTCAAATTCTTCAGCAATTTTATTTTATAGTCTTCTCACCAAATTCCTGAATTACTGCAACCAAGTGAAAGAATATTCTTCAAGGAATGCCAGAACAGCTTGCAGATGCAAATTACTTCCAGCACTTACTCCCAGCAGAGCTGGCCCTGTTCCCTTCAGCAGCCTTTCAAGGAGGTAAGTTTGAGTTACACTGATTAACACCACAGGCTAAACTACCACAAAAGCACATTTCCCAGATTTCTGTGAAGTTCTTACTTTCAGCCTGTACGTTACTTTCATTAACAGGATGAATCTTGATTAGACAGTTCTAGTGCATAAAATAGTTCATACTAAGTTTTTAATAACAGTTATTAATCTCCCAGAAAGAAGGTGCAAAATAAAAATTGGCCCAAACCTGGTATTTTGATAGATGTACAAGAAGTGTAGCCCTCACATCTGTCAGTACTTCTAGGAGACTATTTTCCTGATCCTTTGAGGCTTATCAAAATGGTTAAATTCATGGTCTCAACACAGTGCAAGCCTCTTGGCTGTGTTATCTCCCTAAAGGTGTTTTTCCCATCTGCTTGAGAAAAGCTCATCCTTTATTTACCCTTACAGAGACATGGAATAATGCCTCCCACCTTCCCTCCAAATTTCAGTTGTTTTGGTGTTTCGTTTTTTAATTCCAGTCAGACAAGCTCAGAGCATTCAGAAGCTCACGTTCTTGGCTCTAATAGAGGAGGTCATGTATAAAGGAAAAAGAATTCCTGGGGCACTGATTCCTGTCCAGCTCTGTCAGATGCTCACGTGTAGGCATCAGGTTTGTATGAATCTAGTCAATCTACAAATTATGGATATCTAACATTTATCTTTAGTCCACAGGGATTTACTGGGCTAGCCTAGAAAATTTTATTCTCCATACAAAACACTTCTTAATGCTTGAATGTACTGAATACCATTAAAACATTTCCAAATCCGAAGTCCAGAAAATGCTTAGCTATTTCAATATTTATTTGTGGCACAAATCTGTATTAAGAGCAATTACCTTTTATGCCTATAGGAGAAATTGGTAAACTTGAATTAAGGCTTGAGTTCATGCTGGAAACTGTTGATGAAGATGATGATGTAGTCTTCCTTGGGAGACCACTGGCAACACGAGGACATTTCAGATATGTCATCTTCCTTAAGCCAGGCTGAGTCAAAAGCAAAAAAAAAAATGCCCTATTTAACACATTATTTTGCCATTACTTGTCTTGGTATTATTACTTTTTACTTGTGAATTTTAGAGGAGCTCTTTAACTCAGATTACATTTTAAGAAGTGAATTTTCTTAGAGACAGATCATTGTATCTGGATTATTATACAGAATTAAAACATCAGATCTAGGAGACAAACAGCTATTTTATTCCTGCCACAAACTTAATTGTGAACTTAAAGGAAGTAGAGAACAAAAAGAGTCAGCCCAAGCACCAGAATGTCAGAGTCCTGTTATTTCTACAGGTGATGGCTCTTGAGAGGCCCCTGCCACATCTTCAGTAAAATCTGTAACACGTACTAGAACCTAAGCTAAAGTGTAGAGCAATAAAATCCAAAAGATATTCTATCAAAAAACTGGGACTGGTGCTCACAAGGTCACTAACACGACTGTTTCCTTGCTATCCCAGGATACATTCCCATTGACAAGGATTAAATAAAGCCACTTTTACACATTAAGTATAAAATTACATGAAGTGTAGCAGTGTAGTAATTTTATCAGCAACACAGCAGTGTCAGAAACCAGTTAGAAGAGAAGCCAAGAATTAATAGTATTCACAAAACCAGACCACAAAAAGAAATTTACTTGCAAAAGAAAGGAAAATAAATTTACTTGCAAATGCTCTATACTGTCGTAACAGACAAGTAACCAAATTGTTACTATACTATAGCACCTGCCCTCATTTTTTTTTCTACATATGTTTTCTGACTAAGGATTTCTGACTAAGGATTTTATGAGGTAGAAAAGCATCAGAAGATTAAAGTTTTCTTTCGAAAATAAAAGACTGTAGACAGGTTAAATATTCCTAAAGCACAGACTTCACTTGAACAAAATGTTGCCCAGAACATGACTTTACCTTGTCAATTGTCAACAAATTGCTTTTTCCAGAAGCAGATGATGGTTTTGCCATTGGCAGTTTGCCAATTGCCTTTGTATTTGTTTCCTTAGTTTCCTGCTCCTCTGATAGGGGGAATCTAGCATTTTTTGCAGGAGACACACAGATTTTAACAGGGCTTCTGTCAGGAGGAGCAGGAAGAGCACATTCTTTGCCATCTGACACAGTTTTGTGCGAGGCCTTCTGAAAACAAGGTGGCAGCTGACACGCTGGGCTATCCTGCACACAGTACGTCTCCCGTTTAACAGGCCTGGGAGTTATTTCTATGTTTTTGTTTCTCAGTATCTTCAGCTTTGACTTTGAGTCCTCCACAAATGTTTCTACAGTCTTGTTTTCCTGTTCTTCTGATTGGCTTATTTTGGTCTCCTTGTCCTTGCTTCCAGTCTCTATTTGCAGTGCCAACAAATGAGCTTCTTTGAAAATTTCCACAAATTTCTCTCCTTGAAGCGGGCTCCACATGAGTTTATCATCAAAAGCAGACACAGACTTTTTTGCTTCCATACTGGCAGCAATACATCTTTCTTTGTGTCCCACAGGTCCAACAAAAACTTCATCTTCATTTCCACTACAAAGAAAAATAATTTAGCCCGGCACCTTACATGCACCCATTTTGAAGGGCTTACAGGACTTACATAACTTACCTTGTTGAAGAGAGTGAAAGGTCAAAATCAAACTTTTCATCAGTCAGAAGAGGAAAGTCTGAAACTATAAAGAGGATTTTGTCACAGCACGGATTTGCAATGAAAATGATTGCATTATGCTTTGACAATTTGGTGAGTGATGTCAGCTGGCAAAAAGCTTTAGCTACCAACTTTAAAATATTAAACTTAGGAAAACATATTTTAGGTCCAAGAAATTTAAGGTACAATTGTGAATATGATCATAATTGTGAGATGCCCAAATATTGTGAAACAGCTTAATGGTAATTTCTAAGCAGCTGTAACAGCAACATGGAATGCAGCTCATCAGCAGCCTCCAATCAAAATAACTGAGAACATGTAATCTACAGCCATGTGACAGTGCATTTGTCCCATCCATCAGTACTTTTATTTTTCAGGTTACCACAGAACAGTAGCAGGAGCCAGTGAAAAAGATTACTTTCCTCATCAGTTATATATACCCTATATAAATATAAATCAGCAGTTGATGGATAAGGGAGGAGCTCATATTAGAGGTATTAGATATATAGCAGACTGATCTGAGCTGGCCTAACCTATAACAGGGCAGGTACCACATAGAGAATAACTTAACATGTTCTCCACCTACCACTGTTTGTGCAAATATCCAGTTTTTCTTCCGTCAAATGACTCAGGCTATGTACTGACATTTCTTTGTTTTCTTCCATAGTACCTGGAAAATATAGAAGGAGACATGCAAGAGGTTTAAAAAAACCCCAAAACCGAACAACAGGGTCATACACTTTGATGATACTGCTGAATTAGTGAGGAGGTAAACATTCATTTTGAAGACTCTCATATTTAGGGACTGCTACACAGAATCACAGAATAGTGAGTGTTGGATGAGACCTCTGAAGATCATCTAGTCCAACCCCGTATCAAGATAGGGCCATGATATGTATATATATATATATCAATCCCATATATATAGGGTCTGTGTAGTCTGGAGCAGACTACACAGGAACGCCTCCAAGCGGGTCAAGAATATCTCCAGAGAGGGAGATTCCATGACCTGCCCGGGCAGCCTATTCCGGTGTTCTGCCACCCTCGGTGTAAAGTTCCTATTCACGCTGAAATGAAGCTTCCTGTGGATTAGCTCAATTTAGTATTGCTACTCATCCTGTCGCTGGGCACCACCGAAAGGTGGTTTATGGGATGCCACACAGTTCACTATCCCGCCGACCGTCCAACCCCCCCACCTAAGCCGAGCTCGCACAGGTCCCCCCCTTCCCCGACGGGAAACGGGGAAAGGCCTCCGAGCACCACGCTGGGGCTCTGGGGAAGGGCCCGGGCCCGGGCCGGGGCCTCCTCCTCCGCCGACCGCCGCCGTCCGCCCGCGCTCACCGCTCGCCCCTCACGGCCGCCGCGCACGAGCCGCGCCGCGCACCCGCCGGGCTTGGAAAGCGCGCCCCGCTCACGTGACGCGCCCCGCGCGCCCTCATTGGCAGGTTCGAAAGGCTACACGAGCGTTTCCGGTGCATTCTGGGACTTGTAGTTAGTAGGTGTCCCCAACGGCTGCTCTTTTGGGCTGCGCAGCCCGCTCCGCTCCGTCCTCGCCCCTGGCGCGGGCTCTGGCCGTGGTGTGTCACCCCCGCGGGCCGTCCTGGCTCGGCCCGGCTTGCCTGGCCTGTCTCGATAGCCGCGGTGGTGGCTCAGCCCCAGCAGGGTGTGGGCATTGCCGAAGGTCTCGCCGTGAGGCCGTGCCTGCGGGCACAGGCGCCGTGCCGGCTGCGGTGCGGCCTGCGCGCCCATTCCTTTGGTTTCCGTGACACCTTTGCTGGATATGGTTGTCCTGGTGGTTTAACTTTAGAAGTGAAGCTAAACGGCGGTTCAGCTTGGACATAAGAGGAATTTAATCACAGAAAGCATGACTAGACATTGGAATGGGCTGGCGGGGAGGTGGTAGAGTCATGGTCCTGGAGGTGTTCAAGGACAGGCTGGATGTGGCGCTCAGCGCCAGGTGTAGTTGTCAAGGTGGTGTTCAAAGGTTGGACTCAGAGGTCTTTTCCAGCCTAATAGGTTCTGTGGCATAAGGAATCTAATCCTAAAGTGTCATAGGAATAATGAAATCCATGGATGTCAGTCCCAGCTACAGACTATTGTTATCAGTCCCATTAAAGCAGCCTGACTGTTAGAATAGTTTTAAAAGTAGAACCATGTTCATAAAAATACTAGGAAAACACCACTCTTCACATTTCTTCTAACATTTAATGCTGTGCAGTGCTTAGGGTTTTCTCTTCATGCATACATGGTATGAGAAATTGAGTTCCAGTGATGTATTCTGTTCTAAGCATTTTTAGATTACTAAATCAGTCAGCTGGAATTTTTCAGCTGAATAAGAATAGTTAACCATAGTTAATCATAACCTACAGATTTTCATATAGATAAGATACTCTCTAATCCTTTCTGCAGTCGACCATTTGTCATTTTTTTTTACCTTTCATGGAGCCCCACAAGCAGTATGTATGTGACAGCATGTATGTATATAGCAAGTGTCCTATATATTGGCAAATATGCACAATAAATGGCTGGGACAATTAGGTTTCTGCTGAAAATTAACATGCTCACCTCGCACTTCTCCCTCCCCTGAGGAGTCCCTCCTGGCTGGCTGTGCTCAGTTGCATGGGGAACTGTCCAGCTTAGTTGCTTGTAAAACAGGCCAATCCTCATTGTTACCATTTCTGTCTTCCAGCATTTGACATCAGAATTTTCTACCCCTTCTCTTTGATATTTTCCTCATTGCTCCTTGAATTACTCTTATGGATGTAACGATTTTAATTTATTGGTTTCTTTTATTTCTTTCCATACAATTTAATGTCATTACAATTCCTACCTAGTTCATTTGTTTCACTTTTTTCTCTGTTTTCAAGACTTCATTTCCTTTTATGAAAGGAAATTCTTCATTTCCTCAAAGGAAATCTTGCCATTTCAATGAGGATCAATTTGGAAAGGTGTGGTCTATTTCCCTGCACTTTATGTCATCCCATGCCATTTGATTGTTTTCCCTTTGTTGCAGATTTTTTTTCTTTAAGCATTTCATTTGATTAATTTCTTCTCCTGTCTTTTTGTTTGACTTCATTCCCTGATTTTGGGACTTTAGTAAATTTAATTTTGGTAATTTTTAGTCCTTTTCACTGCACCTCATTTCATCCCAGTCAAATTCGTTTGAGTCACTGCATTCCCAAATTTTCTTTTTTTTCCATTGCATTTTTTAAATCATATCGTATTTCCCTTCCAGAGTGTTTGTTACACTTTCTTCTCTGTTTTCAAGATTTCATTGTTGAAATTTCTGAACCAAAGTAAAAAAATTAAAATGGAATGGGATGGCACGAAGCGCAGGGATATGGACCAAACCTTGCTGAATTGGTACAGTTTGAAATCATAAGATTTTGAAATGAATGAAAATGAAACCTCAAAGTCAGCGAGAAAAGTGAAACAAATGGACTGGGGCAGGGTTATAATGGCAAGAAATTCAATGGTCAAAAACAAAGAAAATTCTGAAATAAAGCTATTGTCATCAGGTGAAGGGAGATGACATGAATTGCTCCCGTTTGCATGCCTTTTGTAGTTGCAACGTCCCTGAAGTTCTAAGCTTTGTGCTTTTCTCAGCCCTGAGCCTGACCCTAACCCTAGGTGGAACAGTGAAAGCAGGCTGTCACTGAGGCTAGGTGCAGGGAGCAGTGCTGGGGCAGTGCTCCTCTTGGCACGCCTTCTTCAGTCCCTGCAGCTCTGGGCTTTGTGGTTGTCTCAGCCTGAGCAGAGCAGTGAAAGCAGCCCCATTGCTGAGGCTGGCTTGCCAGGCACATGGGCGGTGCTGAGCACAAAGGTGCTCAGCACAATGGAGCACTCTTGGGGCAGGGCCCTGCTCCCCTTGGCAGGCCTTTTGTAGCTGGAGCAGAATATACCTTTATTGCTGCATCTATCCATGCTTATATTATTTAAGAAAACCAAATCCAAGGGTTGTAACTGCCTATATTCTCAAGATCAGGACTGAAAAAGCTAGAACTGATACAAGTCAGTAATTCTTTACTGATGTCAGAATTCCTTCTTCCAAGTCATTGTAATATTTCTGTTTTCCTATATTTAATATATTACTAATAATGAAGAATGAGTCTTTGTTCTTGGTAGCTTCACTGGTTCCAGTGACACAGTTTTAATCACAAACTCAGTCTTAACTTTCTGGGGTGTAAGTGATTCTTCCAGGACATATTTGGAAATTACTAGTTGTTTTAATAAAACTAAAGGAACCAGTTTTATTTATATAAAAACATAAATGCTGTAACCAGGACATATATGAAGGAGAGGCAAAAGCCTTTAGAAATGCACCAGAACTACAAGTTCAGATTTGTTCTTAATAGCAATTATATGTGACAATAAGCTGAAAGTAACAGTTAATTAAGAAATACAGTTATTTTAAAGATGATGCAATAAAGTGTTTTGGGAAAGAAGGGTTTTGGTCTGTCTTTATAAATTGCAAATTTAAATGTGTTTGTTTACAAGCCCTACAAATTATTACAGGGGCATTGAATTGGTAATACCAAACCCACCATTAACCCCGCTGATCATGCAACACCCAGCTTGGGAGAAACTCTGCATTGGCACAGCCTCTTGGTAATTAATGGCTCCAGGTGGTCATGGAATAATGGGATGTATGTGACCGTTACTAACCCTGGATATCAAAATGTGGTTTTTTTGTCGTGATATATTGCGTATTGACTGCTTATTGAATGTGATCATATTATAAAAGTCAAAGCTTTTTGAAAAGCGGTCTGCTTTTTTCATAAAAAATATTTTGAGTATTACAGCATATGTAAGTGATGGTGGCTTGAAATTTCACTCAAGGCAATTTAAACCAAATTACAGTTGTAGAAAGGAACTAAGTTTTACCCCAGAATAGCTTGTGATCTAATAGAAAGTAATTCTGTTACAGCTCATCCTGCATTTTTCATCACTACCACCCTCCATCTGTGCATTACTTGTGTTGTTATAAATTTGGCAACACTTCAGCAGCGAGCTACTGTTTATAACTAGAGATCCCAGCAGCTAAAAGAAGCCAGTCACTGGGATTACTCATAACTTGCCTTGTGAACTGCTCAAGGGAATTTCTTGAAGAACTGTGTCAAAATCAGCTTTAGAAACCATTAATTTGAGAGCTTTCATTGACACATAAGAAGTGTTCTGAGATTACTGTTGGTCAAGTTGGTGGGCTTGGAAAGAAGATTCTTTTTGTTGGTACTGAGAGAAAATTTTCTCATTTTGTGCAAGGAAACGAGAATAAGCTTTTTTCCTCTCTCCAAGAAGAAATCTGACGCAGTGGGAACTCAATCACCCAGACACCATGAATGCTTGCAGAAGGTAAGCTGCATATACTGCATTCCCCTCAGGCAGGACTAGAAAAGCAAACTATTTATTGCCAGAATATTCCTCTCGTGGTCTCCACATGATGCTCCCAAATGATCATGCACTGTGTTATTTGATTTGCAGCCACACATGACAGACTGTCCTGATGAAATGTTAAATGTCTAATTCTGTAATTACCTTCTGTAAAAGCTCAAGGGCAGAACTTCTCGTTTATTGATTAATTCCCTTTTGGAAATTGCGTTTCCTAGTCTTAGAGTTTTAACAAATCAGTTTTGACAGCTCTCTTCCAAGTGTGCCTAAGTATGTAATTTGTGGTTTAAAGTTTGTTTTTACTGATAAGGTCTATCTGTGCTGACATTTGTGGTAATCTCTACTCTTCTGTCACAGTAACAGCAGGAACACGTATGAACCAGACCTGAATATATCTAATCCACCTCAGACCCCTTCCTAACGAATGTGAAAATCACAAGCTAGTTAATCTCCTTTTGGCATTCCAGTTCAGATGTAATTGTGCACATTAAACACTTCTTTTCTCTTAAAAAAAAATTAAATTAAAAAATGGCGAAAGCAGGAGGAACAAGGACTTAGCACTGGGGCTTAGCAGGCAATTTTCAGTGTAGGTAATAACTGGAGGTCTGTTGCCATAGGTGAATACTTCTAGTTTCAAACCCTTTGGGAAAGGTGACAAAGCAATGTCAAATGTTACTGCAGAGACTCCTGCAGATATGCTTTATGTAGTTACTCCTGACTGGTATCTTTGCTTGATGAAAACCTTGATACAAGTCCGCTCTGAAAAGCAGAGATAGAAAAACATGCCAGAACAGGATGGGAAGATCACATGCTGTGCTTATCCCCATACATTAAAGCTTTGAAAACTGTAATGTTTTATTTGAACCCTGCCACTTTCATAATATTACAAAATGAAAGGGTGTGTTTCTTCCCATACAATGATCTGTATCAATAGTGAGGAGTAAGAACACTGTTTTTCCTCTAACAAGCCCATATCCAGTCACTGTGCCTGTCAGTGGGAGAGAAATACCAAATG